AAGTTCTTTAGTCTCTTTCGAGCGGTTTGCTCCTCCTGCTGACATTCTCTAGTCTCTTTCGAGCGGTTTGCTCCTTCTGCTGAAATTCTCTAGTCTCTTTCGAGCGGGTTGCTCCTTCTGCTGAAATTCTCTAGTCTCTTTCGAGCGGATGAAATTCTTTAGTCTTTTTCGAGCGGTTTGCTCCTTCTGCTGAAATTCTCAAGCCCGAAGCTCTATCCCTTAAAGCCCTTAAAGCCCGTAATCCCAAACCCCACAAGCCACCTGAAAGGCGAAGCCCTGTACCACAGCTCAGAGTCTCTGAAACCCTGAACAGCCGAAGCCCCGCCACAACAGGACACTCTGGAATCCCCATAGTTACCGTACCCAGAACCCCCTTCCGCCCTAACACCCGAAACCTTAGAATCCCACAGTCCCAAAAAACTCAAGTCCTCCAAATCCTAAACAATCGAACCCCGAAGCCCTGAAGCTCTTGACCCCAATCTTGAAGCCCGGTGATGGAGGTGCAAGTGGTGTGGGTTATCATCAGGACAGCGCGAGTCTCGGCCACGGAGTGGGGTTTAAGGTTTAGGGTTTAGGTGTGGGTGTTCATGGTTCGGGTTGAGGGTGTAGTGACTTCTTCAGAGGGTTTTATTAAGGGTTGTGATCTATTGGCATGGAGCTTCAGCAAACAGGGCATCCAAAGATCGACCAAAGATGATCTTGATCACAAGCTCCCCATTAAGGGATGCCCCATACCTGCGAAGCCGCCATGAAGTACAGCAATAGTCTTGGAGAGTGGAAACCAAGAAAGGCGTCGCAGTCCGGGGGAGCGTGGTGGGGTGAGGTGTTTTGTAGGCTCTGACGCGATGGGAAGAGGTTGTCATGCTGCCTCTTTTTCTCCATTCTTCACTCATGCATAGAGGCTGGGAGGTTCGGCTTCGGGGTTCAGGGCTTATGTCTAAGGCGGAGGGTGAAGGGAGTTCGTAGTGCGAGGACCAGGGAAACGGGCTGCAGGTACATATCGCAGAACTTCCTTCCCTTGGCGGAGAACTCCGTGACCGTCTGGATAGCCTTGGACGATGCCGATGCGGAGACGGGCGTGGTGCTCTGGCTCCTGCTACGATAGTTGAGTGCTAGTAGGCCCAAAGTCCCCTAAAGGCTAAGTCCCTATAAGCTCTTGCATCCCGATCAAAGCCAGGTCATGGACCTGAACCCCTAAACCCCAAACCCTAAACCCAAAGCCCTAAACCCCCTCATACCCTTTTGGCAAGAGCATTTCCGTCAACCCCATAGCGGGATTCCATAGAAAAGATGCCCCACAAAGTACAGCACCCGAAGCCTTGTGAACCCTGTAAGCCCACATAAGCCCTTACAAAGCCAAAGCCCTGAACCCTCAGAGTGTGTTCGAGGTCGAGTACGCTGTGGGCTCTCACCGGTGGCCGGCTGCCAAAGCTTTCTGGCTGAGATTGAGGTTGTATAGCATCTACCCGGGGTTGTTGCCTTCTCGATGCTTTTGTAGTGCTGGTTTGACATCGGTTTTGGGGCGAAGATCCTCTACCCAAATCCCTGAAGCCTGCAGGCCCTAAGAACCCCAAAAAACCTAAACCCTAAACCCTAAACCCTATGAACTGTAAAGTTAGAAGAGAGAGCTTGAGCTCTTCGAGGTGCCGGTTCAGCTCGGTGTAGCCGCGTCGGCATAAAGGCTTCCCTGAACCCTGGCCCTATTCGTCCTGAACATGAAAGCCGCCTCAGCCCTACATGAAGCCGTAAGCCCAAAACATTAAGCCCTAAATCCAGGACCCTAAACCCTGAACATGGAACCCTACACTTGGGATATGGGTTGTCGGGTTTTTGCGTGCTTAAGGTTTAGGATTGGGTTAGGTCATAGCGTTGGGCTTTGAATACCCGACCGAGCCCTACACTTGAAGCCCCTGCTGCCTTCAGTATCAGCCCTTGACGGTAAACCCTGTACTAGTACTCATAAGAATGCGAGTGGTAACCACACTGCTTGTATTGGTAGCGTTCCTGAAGCCCAAGATAACAATAAACGCCAGTTTCGAAAACCGAATAAAGTAGTACGAACAGGCATAGCATGCTTTGCAAGCCTTCCAAACCCTTTGTGCCCATGAAATCGGAGGCGTGCTGCAGAAATCCTAAACCGAAAAGAAGTCCGCAGACTCGGTTATGATCGATCGGAATGAAGATGGGTGTTTCAACCAGGGGTTTTGCGGGATTGATACCTTGACCTTCCCAGGGCTCCTTATTGTGGCGTCCTCATGTCATGCCTGAAACAGGTAGGTTCTTTACAGCATGCAGGTAGGGTTTAGGGTTCGGAGGTGTGGGTCGGTTCAAACTGGGGGTCCTGAATACCTGAGCCTGCCTATGACAGTGTCATGAGCCTCGACATGAGCCCGAAACCTTAAACCCTACACCCCGACCCCTAAACCCTAAACCCTAAAACCCTAAATCCAAATCCCTAAACCCAAATCCCCAAAAACCCAGACCCATACACACCCCAAACCTTGCCCCCAATCACTCACAGTTGAGTCATATAAATATGGATACATCAGGCCCATAATAGTAGCCCTATGATAGACTGTTACTGTATGGGGGCAGTACCCAACCCAAACCCCAAAAACCCAAAAAACCCAAAACCCAAAACCCTAAACCCTGAACCCTAAACCCTAAACCCTGAACCCTAAACCCAAAAGACGGGGAGAAACCCATCACCTTTGGTGAGGCTTCGGCTGTCGACTCGGCATTCCATGGCGCAGAGGACGAGTGCTCCAGCTCATGTTAGGATATCCTATACCCTAAGCCCTGAATCCTAAGCCCTGAATCCTAAGCCCTAAACCCTGAAACCTAAACCCTAAACCCTGAACTCTAAGCCCTAAACCCTGAACCCTAAACCTTAAGCCCTAAACCTCAAGCCCTAAACCCTAAGCCCTAAACCCTAAAGGTTCAGGCTTCGAGGATGTCTCGCAGGGCTGTTTGAAGAGGGTGGTTTTTTTGTAGGGTTTGAAGGAGGCCTTCTGAGTTTTGCAGAGCTTGGGGCTCAGGATGTCAATTCCAGGGGTTAAGCCGAGAGAAGAGGGTGCAGGGTTTAGGGTTTCGGGGGCTTGGTGCCTGTGGATCGCCACTACTACGAGATCCGGTGCCTCAACCGGGCACTCGGGGAAGGAAGGCAATCATGCTGCTGCTGCGGCTGCAAGGTGGTGAGTTCTGCAGACCGTTGCGATCGATTGAATGTTTGGACCCTTGGGGCTCGAAGCCTGCAATCTTGATTGGAAGGAGAGGGCTCATCCGCCATCGGCGAGGTTCTTGCTCACCTGCCTACCCGTCCGAGGCACAACCGCATCAAGATTGCAGTCTTCGATCCTGTTGTTGTTGAGGCTGAAACGAGTGGGGTCATCCGCCCTCGACACTGATGTTTGTGCCACCCGGCAGCCGCGCTGACGCAAGGCTCATGTTTAGCTAACGCGTATGCTCGAAAGATGCAAAAGAACTCCTTGGACACCCTGCCGGGCTCCAGACGCGATGGCTGTGCCTCATCACGTTAGCTTCATGGACCTGGCAGGGCAGGGGGATCCATGCCTAAACCCGAAACCCCAAACTGTTACAAACCCTAAGCCCCAAACCCTAAACCCTGACTGCGTTAAGATCTCTTCCTTACTTGAGAAGCTGGATCCTCAACCCTAAATCCGTCCCAAAGGCCCAAAGGCCCTGCTCCCCGTCAACCTTTGGCCCCCTTGAACCCCGCACCCTAAAGCCTAAACCCCCGATCCGCAAACCCCCAACCGCTAAACCCGTAAACACCAAACTCCTCAACCACCCCCCAATGGCAACAGGAAGAAGGATAGTAATAAAAAAATAGTAGTACGCCCCTAAACCCCCATATTGAATAGTAGCAACTCCCTAAACCCCAAAAGCAGCCCAGGCTCTCTTCAGTGCGCGCGGCAGCGGCCGCCGCGGGGGCGGAGCTGGAGATCAAGCGCCTCAAGGCCTTGCTTTTTGTTTTTTTTGCCTTGTTCTTGGGGCTGCGTCATATGGCCCCGAAGTGTCAGGGTAGATAACTTATGAAAGCCATCACGCTTTGGACAAGCCTCAAGCTGGGGAGTTTCAGGATAGACTCGGAGCATATTACCAGGATGCTCAAACAAGGCACCCCAAGTCTAAGAAGCCCCGCACCTCTAAGACCCCCAAGCCCTTACTCTTGAAACCCTAGCTGCTTCTTCTCCCACGACGTTAAACACTAAATCCTAAACCCGCCCCTAGACGCCTTTGTCAAGCACTCTAGTCACGAGGTGCCCTGCGGAGCGGCCGTCTTCCATCACCAGGAAATGGGCCTCGGGTTCCTGGCTCTGCTTTTTTTTTTGGGGGGTTGGGTTTAGGGTTAAGGGTTTAGGGTTTGGGGGGGATGTATCATATGTCGTCCTCGTGGGTTGATTTTGCCTTTTGCGCCCCGAGTTCGTGGGCTGCTCAAGGTAGATCGCTCAGAAGCGGCCCAGTGATTCTCTGCAAAAAGCTGAATGTGATGGCCTTGAAGGAACCTGAGTCAGTGTCTCCACGATTGATCATGGGACGCAAATTGTCGGCTAGACTGCGGATTGCAAGGCTAAGCTCAAGACCCTAAAGCCATAAAGTTCCAAGGCCCAAAGCATCCCAAGAGCTTTGGATGTACTTTGTTATGTTTTCGTTCGAGAGGCTACATCCTGGTTCTCAAGACTTCAAACCTCTAAAACCCCCAAATTCAACCAACTATTTTGAACCCTAAATGTCTTACGGAAGGACGTCTGGCACGGCTCGGGCCCGAACACGACCAAGGACTCAATGGTTTTGGGGTCAGGGTTTGGGGTTTCGAGGCTTGTAGGTTTAGGGTTCAGTTTTTGGGCTTTTTTGGGGGGTGATTCAGAGGCTGGAGCTTGAGAGCTTTGAAGACGAGGGATTTGGAGCGGTTCCTGGGAAGCTACAGGTGGTATTGAGTGATCTGAAACTTTGAAAATAACGTGCGATAGGGGTTTGAGCTTATTCGTCTACCATGCCAGAGGGCTCCTTGTTTTGCTTGGATAAATATAGTTTACTCTACTATACTCTACTTCGCAACCCCTATTGTGGGAGTTGAGAAATTCGAGAGTTTAGGGTTTAGGTTTTAGGGTCTTTAGGGTGTAGGGTTTAGGGTTTAGACGCTTAGTCTAAGGATCACAATCAAAAGCTAACCCTGGGTCGAGGAAAGCTCTATCTAGCCGACGGAAAGCTTCATCAGGCACAACTCCTGCAGACCTTAGGTACAGACTTGAATCCCACACCTTGCACTCCACAGTCGTTGAGATGCGCGCCACGAGACTCTCTGAGACTTCTAAATCCAAGCTTCTGAAGCTTCCTAAATCCTTAACCTTGTGTCGTAAGCTCAGCCGGTAAGCATGAAGCCATGAGATGCCCCCAAAGTCGACGCCTCTCAGCGCAAAGCCCCAAACGCCCGCTCCCAAACCCGAATTTCCCTCAACTCCCGAACACCCAAAAACTTCCCAAAACCTCACAAGCCTCAACACAAATCTTAAAGCCCCAAGCTTCCACAACCCCGTAGTGGCTTCTCTTAAACCCGAAACCCGAAGCCCATGCTGACCCCGAAACCTCAAACCCCAAAAGCCCAAAAGCCTCAAACCCTAATCCCTAAACCCTAGACCTCAAACCCAAAGCCCTAGACCCAAAACCTCAAACCCCAAGTGAACCCAAAAGCTCCAAACCCCCAAAAGCCCAACAGCCTCAAACACACCACCCCAAAAAACCCCAAAAAACCTCAAACCCTAAACCGCTTCAGAACAAAAACCCAAAAACCCACCCAAGAAAGCCTCAAACCCTATAAAAATCAAGCCCACAAGTCCCCAAAGAAGCCTCAAAAACCCTAAACCCTAAACCCTAAACCATAAAACCAAACCCTAAAGACCCTAAACCCGGCTTCCTCTGCGCAGGATCGGCCTCGTAGGGCCTTGGGCGTCCACCTCCTGCGAGGCCGGCCTTCGGGAGGGATGTTTTTTGGGGTGGCCTTTTTTTTCTTTTTTGGGGTTTAGGGTTTTTTTTTGGGTTTAGAGTTTTTGGGTGGCTTGTTTCTTTTTGAGGTTTAGGGGTTTTGGGGTTTTTTGGGTTTAGGGTTGTGGGGTGGCTTGTTTCTTTTTGAGGTTTAGGGGTTTTGGGGTTTTTGGGGTTTTGGGGTTTTGGGGTTTTTGGGTTTTTGGGGTTTTGGGGTTTAGGGTTTAAGGTTTTGGGGTTTAGGGTTTTTGGGGTTTAGGGGGTGTGTAGTGGCTTTGTGGGGAAGACTTTGAGGTGTTCGGGTTGAGAGCTTTCGGGGTTGAAGCGCCTGCCGCTTGAAGGTCAAGGGTTGCGGGGATTACGTTAGTCACTGTTTAGGGTTTAGGGTTTAGGGTTTTAGGGTTTAGGGTTTTAGGGTTTTAGGGTTTAGGGTTTTAGGGTTTAGGGTTTAGGGTTTAGGGTTAAGTGTAGGCACCTGATCCAGAAACCCTGGCCCTATAACACCGAAAACATAATCGAATTCATCTATGGAACCCAAAGCAAGACCCAGGGTTTCAAGACACCCTGGCCGTAGAACCCGAAAACATGTTAGGGTTCATATATAGAACTAACCCCAAAATATATTTAGGTTCATATAAAGAACGAACCCCGAAGTATATTAGGGTTCATACAAAGAACCCGAAGCAAGACCCCGGGTTTCTTGGTTGGGGTTCATAAACCCAACCTAGCGGGGCTTTCTTCCCAGAAATTTTGGGAGGATCCCAAAAAGTAGATCTCTTAAGGGGGGGTCCTATCAAAATACCCTTTGGGGTTTAGGGTTTAGGGTTTTTAGGGTCCCAAATTAGGGGATCCACTTTTTAGATCCTCCCGGGGGGTCTGGGTTGGGCACCATCGGCTCCCTAACATGTAAGCATCGAAGCAAGGCTTAACAGGGGGATCCCAAAGACGATTCAGGGTATGGGTAGTTCTCTACATTCGGGTCCCTTTTAGAGTTCTTCTTTTTTATAAGGGCGCCGTACTATATTACGGGACCTATATAAAGGGACCCTAATTTAGAGAACTACCCATATGTTGCTGAAGGAAGGAGTCTTGGGCTTTCTAGGGATTTCTGGGCTTCAGAGCCTTTGGGGTAGAGAGGTTGTGGGATTTGAGATTTGGAGCCGGCCGAGGCTTTGGGTGCACTGCCCAAACCTCCACCCTAAAAACTCTTTACGTGTAGACATATGTATACGTGTTTGTGTACATATTGTATATGAGTATATACGTGTATATATATGTATATATATATACATACATGCATACATACATATGTAAATATAAAAATAATATGTATGTATATATACGTACGTACATACATACATACGTACATACATACATAGATACATACATACATATTTGTAGACTATACTCCAAAACCCTGGAGCCCCGAAGCAAAACACAGACCGGAGAGCGTGCAGGCGATGTGAAGTTTCGGACGGACCCTCATCCGGACACCGCTTTGAATACAATTCTGGTCTCTTCAGGGTTCAGGGTGCAGGATTAAGGATTTAGAGTTTCTTCTAAATTTAAACGTGTAGAAGACTGAATGTTTCTGCGTACAAGATGCAGAGCTTAAGCTCTTTGAGGTTCTGGCCTATTCCTGGCTGCGAGATACATATAGAGGCCTCAATACCCGTGGCAAGAGTTCCTCAACCCTAGTTCCCAAAGGTCCTAAGCCCAAAAAGCTTAAGCCGCAAACCCTAAAGCCTTAGACCGCAAAACCTTAAAACCCCACTGAGCTGACCTGCAGGACCATAATCGGGATCTATAGAAACCGCTGTCTGTCTCTTGATTGTGGCAACTTCTGCGAAATTCTGAACAAGACCTAAACCTAAACCCTAAACCCTAAACCCAAAACCCCTAAACCCCTAAACCCTAAACCCTAAGAGCCCAGTGTCCGAGAGACCTGCAGGACTACCTCAAGCCCCGAAGGCCCTACACAAGTCCTAAACACCTGGTTTCCTTGTCATGGTAACTTAAGGTTTAGGGTTTAGGGTTTAGGGTTAAACTCCTGAACAAAACCCTGAAGCCAAAGCCTCAAACCCCTAAGCCTGAAACCCTCAACCCTGAACCTGAAACCTTATAGAAACCCCATAAAGCCTGAAGCCCTAAACCCTGAAAGCCCTAAACCCGAACCCCCAAGCCCAAAAACCTTACATCAATCCTCAGCCAGATCCTAAACCCTAAACCCGAAGCCGAAAGTTCCCTCAGCCCCAAAAAGCTCCCAAAACGCCTAAACCCTAAACCCCAAACCCTAAACCCCTAAACCCTAAACCCCTAAACCCTAAACATCCCTAAACCCTGCAGGACTACATCTACGGACGCTACGTGCTGGCGGAGGGAAGCTCGGAGGTCAGCGAG